CCTGACCACCTGTCTGCCTGCTCACCTGTCAGGCAAGAGAAAAGCTTTGTGTGATTTCAGAACAGGGCAAGGCGCCGCTGTCCCCCCACCCCTCCTGCCGCCCTTGCTCATCACCAATGTCTCAGCGGGAGAGCTCAGTGCCTTTGGGTGTTGACAGATCCTGGCCAGGACCCTGGAAGTCGGGCAGCCCCTGGCTTCTTTTCTCTGAGACCCCAGCCAGGTTTTGGAAGTCTTTAGCCTCAGTGTGTCTGTTATGGTTCCATCTGTTTTTTTGTTTTGTTTTGTTTTGTTTGTTTTTTTCTGGCACCGGGAATCGAACTCACGACCTTGCACTTGCCAGGCAGGCACTGTGCTGCTGAGCTAAATCCCCAGCCCCTGTGGTTCCATCTGGATGTCCCCTGTTAGCTTCTTGTGCTCCTAGTCAGGGCTTTTGGGAGGCACTTGTATTCTGGGGCTTATCGATGACTTGCTTAGAGGAGGTGGGGTCCCTGGGGGATGAGCTCCCTTCCAGGGACCCCACCTGTCTGTGGGAGGTTACATCTCCCTTCCAGCCCCTCCTGTCTGTGCTTCCTGCCACCATGCCCTGGGCAGCTCTCCTCCGCCACTAAGATGCTGTCCACCTTTACAATGGTGGGAGACACTGGCCGTGCCCACACACTGTCCATCATTATGAAGACCGAAGAGGTGAAGTCTGCGAACAAGACAGATCAACTCTTCTTTCCTCATGGAACTCATGAGGGGTGGGGTGAACACAGACACAGTTTTTTTGTTTTGTTTTGTTTTTTTTCTGGTACCAGGAATTGAACTCACGACCTCGTGCTTGCCAGGCAGGCGCTGTGCCGCTGAGCTAAATCCCCAGCCCCTCGCAGACACAGTGTTTAAAATTAAGTAATGATGCCTGATAGGGATGAACGCTCTACAAGGAAGCTCATTGCTGTTGGAGATACTTTGGACAGGAGTCAGGGGATACCGAGCTGAGATCCCAAGGGAGGCTATGAAGGAAGGGTGAACAGCAAGTGCAAAGGCCCTGTGGCAGGAAAGACCTTGAGATGCTTGCCAAACTGCAGGGAGACCATGGTGGCTGGACCAGTGAGGATGGGGAACAGAAGAGGAAGGGTCAGAGGAAGTGGGGGTACAGATAACAGCCTTTAGGGCCCTGTGAAGGAGTTTGATGTATTATTCTAACAACATTTCGGGTGGAGAGGGCTAAATAGATTGTGCCCTGGTTGCCGTAAGGAGAGTGGACCAGGGAGGGATGAGGAGAGGTAGGCGTTGAACGGTGTTGCTGGCTGGGCCCTGGGGGCCTCCAGGAGTGACAGTGGGGGCAGGGAGTGCTGGGAAGCGTGCACAGATGACTTGCTGGTGCAGGACGAGAGGAACAGAGGTGACCCCTGCCTTTCTGCTTCCCATCCAGCCCATGAAACAGGTAAGCGACCGGGCCCAGAGAGAAGGCTGGGGTGGAGCAGCCAGTGCAGGGTGACAGAGCCGCTGGTGGCCGCGTGGGGGACTCCTGCTTGGGGGCACTGCTTGGGCACATTCGGAGGGATAGTTACGACAGTAATGAATACTAAGGCAGAGAGCCCCAGGTAGGCAGTTCTTTTTGTTTGTTTGTTTTTTTGAGTCAGGGTCTCGCTATGCAGTTCAGGTTGACCTTCAACTTACTATGTAGCCCAGGCTGGCCTTGAACTTGAGGCAGTCCTCCTGCCTCAGCCTCCCTCATGCTGGGATTACAGGCATGTACTACCACGCTCAGCTGCTAGGCAATTCTTTAAGCCATGTGGGTTTTTTTTTTTTTTTGCGGAGAATCGAACTGGGAATCGAACTCAGGACCTTGTGCTTACCAGGCAGTCTCTTGTGCCACTGAGCTATATCCCTGGCCCCTAAGCCCTGTGAAAATTGCTTTTTAGACCTTGGCGAGGGTGCATAGCAGGAGCGGGGCAGTGGGAACAGCGGGGACCCTGCTGGCCACAAGGGCTAAAGAGGGCCCTGAATTTTGGTGACGCACGTGATCTCTGCTCACCTCCAAAGGGCTGGAGCTGCAGAGGTTGAATCTGCCCTTCCTGGAGGATGTAGGCGACCCTCACCGCCTGCCATAGATACGGTGGCACAGGTCGCATACCAAACAGAAGACTCCGTGACGGATGTATATGTTTCACGTCACCGTCCCCACTCGACTTGCCAGATGTTTGATATTAAGTTAGTTGCTCCACAGAAAGATGGGGTGGTGCCGGAGGGACCCTTGGATTCCTGTTTCTGCTCCAAGTGGCTCATCCTGCGGGTCCTGCTCCAGCTTGGGGAGCAGCGAGGGGAGGAAGTGGGGCTCCCCTAGCTGCGGCATTGGCCTTTACGGAGCACTTCCTGTGTACCAGGCACTAAATTGCCGCTTGCCTCGACCCTGATTTGCTCTAACTGCTTTGCTTAGTCCCAGCAAACCCCTGGGGATACTGAGGCGCAGAGGGGTTAAGTGGCTTGCCCGAGGTCACACAGCTGGGGAGCGGTGGAGCTGGTATGGGACCCAGCTTTCCGGCTGGAAATTGCACTCTGGAGCCCCATCCCCTAGAAGCCGGGGAGGTGCCCACCGAGGGTTTGGGGGAGAGGGGAACCCCGCTTTCCGCAGTCTTCGCAACCTCTGGGAAATCGCTGGGAATCTGTGAGCGAACACACATCTGTGTGTGCAAACCAACATCCCGTGCACGCGGAGTTCAGGGGCCCCCGCTGAGGGTCCCTGCCCCAGGGAAAGGTGAGGGCGCCGTCTCTTCCTGCGCTGCCACCCGTACGGTCACCAGGTTGCTGCCAGGCGCATCCGTGCCATTGTGGGCTTGCACAGGAGGGCTGAGGGTCACATCACCCGGCACCTTGGCTCAAGGCGACGTCCCCGCCCCACCTCTCTCAGCCCTGTCCCAGGGGAGATGTCACCTGCCAGGGGCCCTAATCTTGCCCTCCCAGGGCTCGCCCCCTTGGCTGGGACGGGGTGACTCCTCACCTCACAGCTCAGTGGTGACTGCCTCTGAATTGAGATTCCTTGGAGGAAGCCAGGAGCAGAGGGGCCTGCTCTGCTTCCCTGGCCTTGATATGGGAACAAAAGAAGCTAAATTCCAGGCTGCTGAGCGGGATGTCTGAAGGGTTTTGTGCTCTTTTGGTGGAAAAAATACATTTTTCCTGTTGGAAAAAAAAAATGTCTCTTTGAGCGCTCCCAAAACAGAAATTGGAGAGAGAGCACTTGCGGTCCGGGGTTGCCTTCCGCTCCCAGGCATTTGGTCTTTGGCTGGACTCAAGACAGTGCCCCGCCCTAAGCCGCCCGGTGGGGCTGAGCCGGGCCCCGCGGGGGTCGTTTGCACACGGGGGCTCTCACCCATAGACTCCCCAGCTGTCCCTGTGTCATTTCACCCGAGGCCCCTCATGGGGCTGGGAGGTGTATCGGGCGGTTTCCAGGTGACAGCCGCTGGATTCTCACAGGCCACCCCTCTGTCGGGGACCTCGATGCGGCTGGGGTGACTCTCTTCGATGATCTGGGCCCGCCCTGGCACCCGAGTTTGCCTTTGTTGGCACCAGGCTCTGTCTGTCTGTCTGTCTGTTGTCTCTGGCTTGTCCCCCAGGGCGGGGACAGGGTCCTGGGGTGCACTCTGGAGTCAGGGTGCGTGAGAAGCTGTCACTGCCGGGGGCTTCGGTGACGGTGACTCTGGGCCTTTCTGTCACTGCCTGTGCCGTGGGGCACAGCCACTCCCTTCCTCTGCCTGGGCCTCAGTCCCCGCTCAGCCTCAGCTGGGTTGAGGTGGAAAGATGCCCCCGACTCCTCCCGCTCAGTGGAGCTGGCTGTGAGGGCTCCTGGGCCTCGTACTGAGGGCTTCTCTTCTCTGGAAAGGGACCTATGGGGGGCTGGAGGGGGGGAGGGGACCCCTGGGCATCTGGGAGGGGGCGGAGATGGTGGGCAGGGAGCCGGGGCAGTGGGGCAGGGAGTCAGGAGCGGCCACGGGGCCCATGGTGTCCTGCGGGCAGGAGGAGGCTCGTAGCCCGCCCCCGTTTGGCAGGTGCCGCCCCAGGGAATACAGACTTTGTGTGGCACGTGCTGGCTGGCACTTGGAGTCACAGCGAGAGGAAGGCGTGGTGTGTCCAGGAGGTGTGCAGAGGGGACAGGCTCGAGGCCTGAGCCGGATGTCGTGGGGTCCCTGTGGGGTGAAGGATACCAGGTGCGCAGGACACGGCTGGCCCCTGCTTCCACACGTACCCACCCGGCCCGGCCTCAGAGGGCAGCCTGGGACTCGGGAGCTGACGTTTGCCGCACTCTGCGCCTCACCCACGGCTGGCGATGGGCAGCGGGGGCTGTGTCTCGGGAGGCGGGGTGGGCTGGGCACTGTCCACAGGCCTTCCTGCCCCTGTCAGCTTGCTGCAGTGCCTTCCAGGGGACTCGTGTTAGCACCGCCCTGAGCCTGCGGGACCCAGTTCAATAAGCCCATCCCCTGGGACTGCAGTGCATCGCTTCCCCAGAGCAGGCGAGACCGTGGAGTAGACTGAGGCCCTGCAAGAGGGACGGCCTGGGGGATGCATTTTGAGTGCATGATTTGATTGATTGATGATTGATTGATTGATTGATTGGGACAGATGAAAGGAAAGGGCTTGGGCAGTGAGAGGCCCAGGGGCCAGGGCCTCGGGTGGCACCTAAGGGCAGGACAAGCTGAGGCCATAGTGAGTGAGGGTGGTGGGGAGGGAGCACCGAAGGGTGGACCTGGAGCAGTTCCCAGGGCTGGCAGAAATTTAATAAAGTTTGCCCTGGGGTCAGCACTCGGGAGGCTGAGGCAGGAGGATCGCTGTGAGTTCGAGACCAGCCTGGGCTACAAAGTGAGCTCAAGGCCAGCCTGCACTGCATAGTGAGACCTTAAAAAAAAAAAAAGTTCGCCCCACAAGCCACCTGTCCTTCCTGCGTTGCCTGAGGCCGGGCCAGAGGCAGCCTTGGGGCAGGGATCTGCCCCAGCCAATAAGTCCTCCTCTCTCCCTCCCTTCAGGAACCTCTTGGACAAAGACATGTTTTCCAAGTCTGACCCACGTAAGTCCTGCTGCCACGGTTAACAGCGACAGCAGCAGCCTCGTGACTGACTGCGGCAGCGCTCAGCGCCCGCCTGGCCGTGTCCCAGCACGTCAGGGCTGCTGCATGCTCCCGAGAACTTGGGGTCTCCCTGTCTGGCCCCCTACTTGGGACGCCCCGGCACGACGCAGGGGGCTGGGAGTGTTGAGGCGTCTGGGACCCCAAGGCCTCAGTGCTCGGGGACCAGCACACCTCCGAGACCCAGTGGCTGTGGGCTGGTGGGAGTGGCTGTGCTTTGGCAGTGCGGGTTCCAGCCCTGACCCGTGCTGCCCACGCGTGCAATGTTGGATATGCGTTGGGCCTCTCCTGAGCCTCAGTTTCCCCATCAGCGAAGCAGAGACCTTGCTGGCTCTGGAGATGGCAGATGCTTTGCCACCCAGCGCTCGTCCTCCCCACCTCCCCGTCTGCCTCGTCCCTCGCCGGTGCCCGCTCCAGACACAGCCGGGCACTAGGCCCCTCCTCCAGGCCACCTCCTGGAATGGAGCATCCGGAGCTGACTGTGGTCCAGGGTCAGAGGCCAGACTCAGATCCCTGCCCCAGACCCTGCCCCGGCCCCGCCGGGCAGCCCCAGCCCCAGCCTCCCCACCCGCCCCTCGCTCTCCTCTCGGCCTGCCTGGTGACCCTTTCTCTCTTCCTCCTGCAGTGTGCGTCATGTATACTCAAGGGATGGAGAACAAGCAGTGGCGGGAGGTAGGTTCGGCCTTTCCCACCCCGTCCCCACGGCTCCCCGCCGGAAGTGTCCTACCTGCCGCTCCCAAGCCTGCCAGAGGCGTCAAGGGAGGTGGACAGTGGGGCCCAGCGAGGCTGAGGACACAGCAGGAGGATCCTGTCCTCAGGGAGCCACAGTTTGAGGGTCTCAGGGGAGACACGAGGCCCAGGTTCATCGTGACCTCCTCGGTGGCCTGGCCATGAGCGCCTCACCTAGCCCCAGTCCATCTGCAGCTAGTGCCCTTCCTTCTGTGTTTCTGAGCCTGGCTCTGTGTGCTCTGGCCCCTTAAGGGTACATGAAGAGAGGCCACAGAGACCTCCCTTCAAGCCACTCCTGCCTTGGACTCCTCCTGCCTCAGGGCCTTTGCATGCTCCACCACCTGTCCCTGCAGCCCCTGCACGGGTCCTTTAGAGCTTGGTTCTGATGTCAGCCCACCGAGGCCTTTGGGGTCTCCCAGCCAAACACAGAGACCCCAGCCCAATCCTGAATTCCCTCCACTGCCCCTCAGTCTTCACCACCCATCCCGCTCTGCTTCAGACCCTTGTCCCATGCAGCCCCCCAGGAGTAAGGCGCTCCATCTGCTTCATCTGCTCCCTGGTTTGAGCTCTGAGGCCTGAGCCCAGCTTGCAGCAGCTGCTTCATAAACGTCTGTTAAAGGAGTGGTAGGGGGTACAGCTCAGCGGCGCAGCGCCTGCCTGGCAAGTGTGAGGTCATGAGTTCGATTCCCAGTACCAAAAAAAAAAACAGGAGAGTGGCACGGTCGGAAAGGGGAGCAGGTGGGAGTCAGGGGAGGGGTCCTGGGAGTCCCTGCTGCCTCCCTTCTGGAGGAGAGGGCCTGCCCAGCAAGGGCACGGCCAGCAGGGGCCTGGGAGGCAAGGGGCGGAGGAAGGACCCTGTTTCTTGCCTGGCGCAAGGTGCAGCCGGCTTGCTGGGCCTTGCATGGAGCTGAAGCCCGCGTCCTGTGGCCGGAAACTGAACTGGCTCCTGGTGATCAGCAGAGGCTCGCGCATGGGACAGGAGGGGCCTGGACTGAGGCTGTGGCCCTTTTGGCCTCGGCAGCCCCGCCCCCTTGTCACCATGCTGTGGGCTGCAGGTGGAGACCTGGTTGGGACGTCACTGGCCCTGCCCTGTCCCACACTAGATTTGGCTGGAGCAAGTGGCCGAAAGGGGTGAATTGGAGCTCGAAAACGCGCAGGAAATATTTCCAGGGGGCCTGGGCTGAAGTGACATTTTCATCTTCTCCCGGATGCTAAGCCCGCTGAAGCAGAAACCAGATTGCTAGGAAACGTTTAGCCTACTTAAGTGAACTAATTACTGCCGAGGCCTTTGGCCGAGCTTCCCAGGAACCAGGAATGTGCTAATGTCTTAGTGATTCATGCGGGGAAGTCGGGAAGGGCCTCTTCCACGGGGCGCTGCTGGGCGGACCGTTAATTACATTCTGTGACTGCGACTCACACCTGAGCCCTGTTACCACGGGCACCCAGGCTGGGGCGGGGAAGGCGGGCAGCCAGCTGTCACCTGGAGCCCCTGGCTGCACCCCTTTCGGCAGGGGGCACTGGAGCAGCGTGCCGGGTGCTGGGGAACAGGGAGACGGTGGAGAGAAGGCAGCGTGGCTGAGAGCAGGAGTGGGAGCCAGGGTTCTGCGGCCGGGGAGAGGCACGGGCGGGCAGAGCCTGAGGAGTCACAGAGCAGCGAGGTCGGGCAGGAACGAGATGGGACTGTGAGGGAACTGGAGTTGCAGCCAGGACGCCACACTTGGCTAAATTGTTCTGACAGGTCACTGGGGTTTTTTCAAATGGCATTTGAATCTACACAGAAGCCGCCTGGCTCGGGGGTGCAAGACAGAGCACAGAGCGCACTGTGGGGACAGGACTGTCGGCCTCCTCTGGCGCAGCCTCCAGCTCCGACAGAGAGGGAGGACTGGCCTTGGGTGATGGAGGTGGGGTGCAGGGGTGCAGAGCCGTTGGGTGTGCGCTTGGAGGGGCTCAGCGAGGAGCACTAGCAAAGGTCACAGCAGTCACAGAGGGAGGCCTGGAGGAGCAGCTCGCCCAGGTCCTGTGTAGTTGGGGAATGGGATAAGTGGGTAAGAGAGTGTGAGTCAGCTTCCTGCCACTGTAGTAAAATACCTGAGACGCTGATGTGCAGAGATGAAAGGTTTATGGTGTTGGAGGTCCTAGTCCATGGTCAGCCCATCCCATAGCCTGGGGCTTGTCGTGGGGTCAAAACTACTCACATCAGGAGCCCAGAGATTGGTGTCTCACTGAGCCCACTGTCGGTCGCCAGCCTGAGGACCAGGCCTTTAGCTCGCGGGCCTGTAGGGGACATTCACGGTGCGAATGACAGCAGTAGGTCTGAGACCGCGTGGCTGGTGAGTCACGGGGTGGCAGGTGTGGGGGCCGGAGGATGCATGAGGGGGGATTTCTGGGGCCCCCAGGAGGATGGTGGAGAGGGGCAGGGGCCTTCATGGAGGGACACGGTCAGCCCCAGCCACCTGCCTCGCTTCCCACCCTCTGATCTCAGGGCAGTGCTGTGTAGGTCACTGGGCTGCTACCCCCAGTGCAAAGCAGTGAGAAGGAAGGCGGGGCACAGGGCACAGAGATGCCCAGCACAGGCCGCAGGTGGCTGAGTGTGGCCCACACACAGGGTTGGGGCCGGGAGACACAGGCAGGGGCCACCGAGGGGTCTCAGCTGCCTGCAGTTAGGGTCAGGATGGCCTAGCAGGGGTCCCTGGAGGTCAAGGAGGCAGCCCTCTTCTCGAGAGGGTCCACTTGCCTCTCAGCTGCCTGCTACTCCTTGCCCTGCCCCCAGAATCTTGGCCGGGAGTGAATTCTGTGACGGGGGTCAGGTGGCACTCGGTTCTCCAGTCTGGGCCAGGCAAGTGGCGGCCGCTCTTGTGGCCCTGGCTGTGAGGTTTCAGCTGATTTTAACCATTTGGGTCATTTTGATGCCCTCTGAGAAATCCCCATCTTCCCAGCACCTAAATCTGTCACTACGTTTTATGAAAATTGACTCAAGATGTAATTTTAGCCCAGGAAATCGAGCACTATTTGCATCAAGCCCTGCCGGGGCCTCTGCGTGTCCTGGGAAGGCAGGATGGCCGGGGGGGAAGAGTCCCAGACGCGCTGTCACCGGGAGAGGACATCCCAGGAGCCCGCTCGGGTCCTCTTGAAAAGTGGGGGTGACAGTCACTACCCCTCCCTCACCAGGTGGCTGTTCTGGGGCTGAGGACCTGTTGGGAAGGCGGAGATGGAGATCACAGACTCTTAGGGAATTGGAAATCTTAGGGTGTCACACTGATACCTCACTGCACCTACAGTGTCCGTGGCCCCAGCCACCGCAGCCTCTGATTCCTGCTCCGTCTAATTTTGAGCAACCCCGGCTGTTTAACATTTTCCCTGCAGGTGGGAATGAGGATTCATCTCCAGATATTCACAGTGACTCCTCAGGACACCTTGCTAGGTGCCTCTGTTTCCCTTTGCTCAGGAAGTGTGTGTTGACAGTTTCAGACCGTTTTTGCTGCTATAACAAGAATACCACGCCCGGGGGAAGCTTAGGAACACCAGCAATTTATCTCTAGGTTTCAGAGGCTGGGCAGGCCAAGGCGGCAGTGGGTTCAGTGTCCTGTGAGGCCAGTTCTTCACAGACCCATGGCAAGGTGGTTCCCTCTTGCAGTGTCCCGGCAGGGAGGCCCCTGGCTAAGGCCCACTCCACGCTCCTGACCTTAGCACCCCTCCTCCAGATGTCAGGGTCTGAGGTTTCAGCCTGAATCTGGGAAGGATACAAACTTCACACCCAGAAAGGTAGGACTGTAACAAGAGCTCACTTCCACTGCAGAGCGGGAATAACAGCGACAGTAGCACCGATCTCAGCACCCTACAGGCACTAAGTCATTTGGTCCTTACAACAGCCCCCAAGGGCTGGGCGGAGCTCGGGGGTGGAGCGCTTGTTTGCAGGCCCAAGGCCCTGGGTTTGATCTTCAGCACTGCAACAAGGACAGCTCCAAAACCCAGTTCTGTGAAGGCGTTGTTACCGTGATTGTCCCGTACCACAGAGGTGGAGACTGGGGCTCTTTATGTCACTGTTTCCTGTCCCTTTTCCAGGCTGGGCGTTCTGCTCAGAGCCTGTGCCCCGCACCGCCCTTCTGCTGTCCAGAGAGCACTTCGGAGCTGGTCCCAGGGCCTCCCCTGCCCGAACGGGACCGTCAGTGCCTCCCTTCCGGCTCTGCACTTTATGTGTCTGTCGCTGAGAACCGGATGCTCCTTGATTACAGCAGGCGTCCACCGACCTTCTATATTCATGTTGAATCTGGGGTCTCCTGCATCTTTCACTCATCATTTACCGTCCAAACAGGACCACCCCCCCAGCTCGGACTTGGGGGTGAGTGTTTGGAGCTGAATGTGTGTTTTTACGTTCATCCCGGTCGTGTCATTTGTGGGGTCGTCTTTTGTTATGGCTTAGGGAGAGCAGGCCGAGTGGGAGTTGTACCTCGGGCGTCTTGGCTCCCGCCTCTGGCCTCGGTCAGCTGCAGTCGTCCTCCACTCGTGCGATGAGGACTCCAGTGGGGATGAGCATGGCCCTTCGCCGGGGACCTTTCCCCACGTTGACCCAGTTCTCTCGCTGACCCTGGGGAAAGGCTGTTCGGCTACCTCGGTTTTACAGGACTTCGTGGTAACCCATCCTGTCTTTCTCCATCCGGCCCCAGGACGTCAGGAATGACAGTCAAATGCCTTGTCAGATGAGACCCTGCACTTAATGTCCCAGGTTCCCGTCCCAGCAGGGCTCAGTTTACTTATCTGTAAGATGAAATTAGGAGGCCTTCTCAGGGAGTTTGTAGCTAAGGCCATGCTTTTGGAAACACCTGGAAATATCAACGGCCATATGCAATTGTCACAGCAAGAATGGCCACTCTTGGAGACCCTGTCAGCTAACCCAACCCTGGGGCCACAAGTTGAGTCCTCAGTGCACACATCTGGGGGAAGGG